ATGGAACTCATTTCTTCTTCAATGATAGCCTGCTGTGCGTGAGAAGTTCCTGCCACACCAAAAGCCCACATCAGATTTAAGGCTTGAGAGAACTGTAGATTTCTCCTATAGCCAAAGATTGTCAGTCTAGGCTCATCAGTGATGTGTGGCTCACCCTGAGGTTGTGGCTTTGGTGGGGTTGTGTCCTACCTGCCTCTGCAGCTGGGTTTGGAGTTGCTGACTATTTCCTTGTTTTCTTTGCATCACATTTCTGTTTCTCCATGCTATTTTGAACTGTTCAGTCACTGCTTGATTCTCAGTGCTCTTCCTCTCTTTGTCTTCTTGGAATGGTAGCACCTTTGCTACCATTTGCAGACTTACATGGAGACACTAGGGCGTTTCCTATAGGTTATTGCTCCCTTGAAAAAAAATGTCTATTTAGAATTCTTACCAGAAATCTAGCCCATGTAGTACAGTGCTCACTAAGAGAAAACATGGAACCTGGGAAAGCATGGACAGAAAGAAGAGAGGCCTGATTGGACCAAAGAGGACTTGTAGGAAGTGGTCTGAGCTCAGGCTTGAAGGGTCAGGCAGTTCTGTCTGTACACAGACTTGAGTAGTAGGTATTAGAGTTCAGACTTATTGTTCAGACCTCAGGGAATTCAAAAGCACAGGAAGCTTGTTAGGTAGCTACCAGAGTTGGCCTCTTGGGAATCAGGGATCCCTGGAGCAGAGTTTCAAAAAAACTCCTCAAAATCCTGACCTATCCCTCCCACAGAGACCAAGATCAGGTAAAGAGTAAGGAGCGCTGTGGCACAGCATCTGAGGTGCCACAGCGATCATCATCTGGGGCGTCTCTTCTTCTGGCTGTCTTGGGTTCCCACTGTCTGTAGATTTTGGTATCTGCATGTTCTTTCATGTCTGTACCTCTCTCTGTGTCCTGATACTTCTTTCTCCATCTCTATGTCTTTCTCTTCCTTGCCTGTTTATTTCACTCTGTTCAACTGCCCCCTCCTCTGACTTTGGGTATACAGCTTCCTCAACCCACCTGGCCTTCAGTTACTAATGAAGAGAAGGAGAAGGAAAACAAGAA